AAAAAAAAGAAAAAGAAAGAAACTAATAAAAGAACCTATCGATATTAGAGAACTACAACATACCAGCCTTGTCACATATCTACTGGGTAGGTTAGCTTCCCGTGGACCTCGAAGTGTTGTGTTGGTTGACAAAGCTTTAGAAGAAATCGAGCTAAGTCAGTTTAATTCTTATGTAGTGTGTGAAGCATTCCTGTGTCTGACTGGGGGGGCTGATGCTGTGGTTTGTTTTGTTTTGGGGTTTGAATATTTAGAGAATATACTTGATTTTGGGTTTCTGTTTTGGGTTCCTTGTTGCTCTAGTGTCTCGAAGGTCATGTTTTTTAATTTTAATTTTGAGCATTCGTTTTAGTTCTTATTGTACAGTTTGAGTTCTGGTCCTTGAATTGTGTGCACATGGTTTAGTTGCCTCTGTGTTTCCTTCTCTGTTACTCCCTCCGTCTCATCCTTCAGTGTTTATGTCCTCCAATATTGTCCCTGTCTTCAGTTTTGATCCTCTCCTCATCCTTCTCATCACCCTCGGGATAACCTTCATTTTCCTCTCTCTCTTTGCTTCCATCATGCTCTGTCACATCTTCTTACCATCTGCCACACAGACAGACCTCTACAAGAATGAAGCATGCCGGAGTGATATTAGCCTCTTACCCTGCTCACAGCCTCATGTTTTCAACACATCAGAGGTCAAAGCAGAGCCTAGGTGCACTCCATAATAATTTTAATTACGGTAATTATTGTGATAATTATGAAAGCCTAAATAAATCGTCCATGCTTATTTTTATTTTTTTTTAACCAAACTGTAACACTACAATTGCAGCACCTCGGCTACAGTAAGTAGGCCTCGTGCATTAGATTAAATTAGGTTTGAGATATGTATAATGTTAGATTTAACAAGCATTTTTGGTAAATATGACTCACATTTTGCATCATGAGTCGGGTCAGTAGAATAAGTTATTTGTGCAGGTGAGTCAGAGTGTGGGGTGAACTAAACTGTGGCATCAGAGAGTCTCAGCAGCTTTTTTGAATAAGGGCTCTTCTTCTTCTTCTTCTTCTTCTTCTAGCTGGTCCCTTTAGGGGCTGCCCTGGTGGATCAGTTGCCTCCAATCTCACCTTATCCCCAGCATCCTCCTCTGTCACACCACCCTCCTTCACTGCATCCACAAATCTCTCAGTTTTCCTCCTGCCTGGCAGCTCCATCTTCAACATCCCTCCTCTGCACGTGTCCAAACCATGTCAGCCTCGTCTCTTTTACTTCATCTCCACGCTCCACCTGAGCTGTCCCACTGATGCACTCATTTCTAATCCTGTCCATTCTGGTCACCCTTACTGAAAGTCTTAATGTCTTCAGTTCTATCTTTTTTGTTACTGCCACCACCTTCAAACGTACATCTGTCCTTCTATCCTATCCAGCATGCTGCTATCCTTCTGTCACAATCACCTTGATTACCTCTTTCATAGACTGTCCTTTGGCTTGGATGGTTGACTCCAGGTATTTAAACTCATTTACCTTTACTACCACTACTCCTTGCAGCTTCATTGTTACACCTGTCTCCCTCTCATTCTCACATGTTTTCTGTTTTGCTTCTACTGACTTTCACACTTCTTTTCTCCAGTGCATACCTACACCTCTCCAGACTCTCCTCCACCTGGTCCTTACTCTCACCCCAGATCACAATGTCATCTGTAAACATAATAGTCTATGGAGACTCCTGCCTGACTTCATCTGTCACCCTGTCCATCACCACTGTGAACAAGAAGGGGCTCAGAGCTGATCCCTAATGGAAACCCACCTCCACCTCGAACCCATCTGTCACTCCTACCGCACACCTCACCACTGTCTTGTTGTCCTCATACATGTCCTACACCACCCTAATATATGTGTCTTCCATGTCTGACTACCTCACTATTACCACAGTTACTCTCTTGGCACACTATCATTTTTTTCTTTAGATCCAGAAAGGCACAAAGCATCTCCTTCTGATCTTCTTTATACTTTTAAATGCTTTTCTTCAACCTTACTAGACCTTATTTGTCATGAACTTCTCTTCAGCTCAGCTTCACGGTCTGTTTGTCTTCTGCGTCCACATGTTACTACACATGGCTACATTTCATTTACAAATTATTACCTTTTCCAGAGTCCTACCTGTGTAGTTTTATCTGAAATTAGATGAAGTCACAACCACACAACAGCAACATTCCTCTTTGTTTGAAACTTTATTCATAATCTTCATTTACCAATCAATAGTGCATTCCCAGGCTAGCAGTTCAGTAAAACCAGTGATGGAGGCCTGTTGGATGTCTGAAAGTTGAAAGGGGAAAAAGAGAAAGGCCTCTTGGCAGCGAGGAGAGACAAAAACACAGTTTTAGCCTGGACACCCCAGCCTTGTGTCCCTTCAGGTAGGATGGAGGCCTGCAGCTTTGAGAAGCAGCTCTGGTCCAAGTTCCTCAGAGTGTCATCCACGCCTGTGCTTACTGCTCGTCTCGCTGTTCAGAAACAGAATAGTTGGGTGAACCGTCAGTCAGACGAGGGGGTCAAAGGGCGTTGCACATACTCCGAGCCGTTTCTGTATCCCTCGACTTGAAGGACATCAACAGAAATACCAACAAATACAGACACAGTCACAAAGCAGCTCAGTGAAGGAGCTGTAGTTAAATTCTCTTTTCTATCTCTTGCTTTTCTTTGCCGCTGATAAAGTAATTTAGTGAAGTAAAGCTTTTCACAACCATAAAACTTTCCATTTTTCTGTTTTTTTGTACATTTGTATCATATATTCACAAAAATTACTTTGACATTTGACAAACATTTACCTTAAATGACATCAAAGTAAAAATAGCCAAAATTAAGTAACACAGCCAGTATTTTTTTTTTCACTTTCCGGTCTCTCTTTTTTGTTGTGCTTTTTGTTTGTTTTCAAAGCTACACAGACGCAGAGATCCGGCGTCTCCGTCTCCATTTGCACAGACAGCATGTTGTCAGGTTATGCTTACGATAACAGCCTCCGAGTCAGCTTGGTCATTAATCACGGAAACCAATCAGCTAGAAACAATCCTGTTTTATGTGCAGCTAGGAATCCCTAGACGGTCGTAGTACAGTAGTACAAGTTGAGCAAGAATGACTTAGCACTGCAAGACAAAAACAAGATGGAAGGGGGGGGGCTGGTGCCGTGGAGAGCGGACCACGGGAGGAGACCGATCCTCGAGGGGACCCCTGGGTGAGGGGACTCGGCCAAGGTAGTTATGGAGATGGCGCTTGCAGGTGCCGTTCCTTGCTGTTGTGGTGATTTATCTCCAAGAGAGAGCATAAAGGAGGAGCAAGGGAAGCTTCTGCATTCAGTGTTTTCATCCTAATTAACCCCAGAGCTGCACGACACCAATACAAATCAAATGTTTCACACTTTGCAGCAGCGTTGCTGATCGTGGCACTAATTCAGAGATGGAGTCTTAAACAGAACCTTAAACTTAATCAGACAATTTCCCACAACATGTGGACAAAAATATGTGGACAGCCTTGCATGTAAATGTTTATATTTTTTATAATTATGACATAAATCCTGCATCTATGTCGAAGTAGTGCTGTGCTCTGCTGCAAATTCTGGTATCGATCCGATACCAAGTAAATACGGGCCAGTATTGCAGATACCAATACTGATATCGATCGTTTTAGCCTATAAAGGCAGCTTATTTGGGCTTAAGTGGTGTGTTGTGATTTATGAGATTGATCATTGTCACTTTGCAAATTCCAAACACATTTTAATGACCACTAAATCACCTTGCAGCCTTTCAGGTATTTTGAAACTGTGTTTGTTGGAGAGCTGGAATGTAAATGTGGTCGTCTCTAAAGCACTTTGGTTCAACTTCTGTTGTTTAAATGTGCTTCAGGCTGTAAATAAAATAGATGTGATAGTCAGCACGAAAAGGCTCAGACATTTTTTATAGTGCATGTTTAAGGTGTATGTTTTAATCTCCCAAAAAATAATTATTTTAACACAATTTGTTAGGCTATTTACTGAAAAGGAGAGAAACAAAGTATCGATTCTTTACCAATAACAGCACTGGTATCAATACTTGGATTCATCCGCTCACCTTTGTGTCTATGTGCTTTCTATCTAACATTCACACGCTGATGTGCACAGTAGAGAGCAACTTGGGATTTGGCGTGCCGACTAGAGTAGGCAGAGATTGAACCACTAATTTTTCAATTAGTGAATGACCTGTTCTACCTCTTGAGCCACAGCCATGTTTATGCTTATGTGATCACTTTTGCCTGCGTTCCTCAGAGAGGTTTATATTGTGCACGTCTGATTGGCTTTTTCATGATCTGGTGCACGCTGCTGCTACATTTCTTATTCTACAGCTTGCACAACAATGCAGACTGAGACCTCGCTTTCATCGTCGGCTGTGAGCCAGGCCTTGTCGTCGCCCAACATCATTAATGATCTCATGGCTGAATGGGAGCAAACTCAGGCTGCAGATTAATGCTCAGGTGTCCACACACTTTTTCTAAGTGCAGTGTATGATGATAAATAAGCTCAAAACTTGCTTTTTGCTGCCAATTTAGAGGTGCAGCTGCTTTAGTGGGGCTGATGATGGCCTACTTCTCCCTCCACCGGAGCCTCTCAGTTTCATGCCGGTCTCTCCAGCGCGTGGTGCCGTCTCTCCAGAGTCCCATTGACACACTTAGGTCCCTATTTACCTCATAGCAGGTCAATGAAATAAACGGGGAAAGGGGGGGGGGGGCCTCACCCAACGCCGTTATTTGACTTGATTTTCTCCTCAGCCTCTTAAGCAGTGGACTAATCAGTTATTTTAGTCAAGGCAGAAGGTGACCCTAATTTTGAAGAAGTATTTCATACCTATTCTGCTGCTGTGATCACAGTCTGTCGCCACCTTCTGTGTTTATAAAGGGCAGAATGGATAAAACAGAGGTATACGCAAACAGTTGAGTGGCAGCATGCCATGACAGAAAGCAATAGAGCAGATATAATCCCAATCCCAAAACATCTGAAGCAACGCTCTGGAGCCGCATGTTACATGCAGGAGGTGGGCTTGCACATGATAAGGAGGAAACTGGGTTTTCACGGGATATTTTAGGTCATGCTCTCACAAAAGATCAATCCAGCCTTCTGCAGAACAGAGCAGGCAGATTTAAGCCTGTGGTAAAGCTATTATAAAAAGCCACATATCAATGATTCAGCTTCACACGTCACAAGATAAGTTTGACAGCTTGTAATGGATATCCACAAACCAGATCGTCTGCAATGCTAATGTTGTGTGTTATCTGCCCGGCACAGGTGTTTTAATCTATCAACATACAGTAAACTGTAAGCAGGAGAAATCTCAAATGACTCACTCTAGGTGAAGTGCTCCAAGACGGCAGTCTGCACCATCAGGCCAGATGTGTGTATGTGTGTGTGTGTGTGTGTGCGTTTTCCCTGCACTAACGCTGCCCAGAGTCTCCGTGGTGGTTTATGGATGTCTGGGAAGCCTCAGCATTAGTGATAAAAGGATAAAAGTGTCTCTCTCTCTCTCTCTCTCTGAAAAAGATTTCTCGTGGATCTCCATCTAGCCAGCGGCAGCTGATGGAAGTCTGATCTCACTGGCTATTTTCCGTTGTGACATCATTAACAGGAGAACAGAGGATGGTGGAATTGATGAGAAGGAGCGAGGGAGGGGCTTCGACAGTCTCAACAACAGTAACACGACACACGACCCAGGAGGGGGTTCGGACAACAGATTCAAGACACACCAGTTTGCACGAAAGTACATCAGGCAACGGAATGAACCGCTTGGAGAATTTAGGCTCTTTGCTGCACACACAGATGCTATTAACCACCGATTGTTCACTACTGAGTATGACAGCAAATTAAAAAAGCCTAATACGGGGTTATAAACACTTGAATTAGCCCTTAAATTCAAAAAACAGTCAAGAAACTGAGATAGAAGGGATCTAGGAAAGAAAAATCCAGACAGAAAAGTGATAGATTAAGCACGGAGGCAGGCTTTTTTTTTCTACTTGTTATATTAGTCCATCTCAGAGTCTGGGTAAGTGGCCTGAGTGAGACCTGGTGGGTTAGGATGTACAATCAAATCAGGATGTGGTCTTGGCATGTGTCTCATACACATATACACCCCCTCACCGCACCCATTTTTATTCTCCAAACCTGTTTCACACACTTCCACACGCATCCCTGCCCCTCCTCCCGGTGTGGTCGAGCTTCCCGAGACCCCCCAACTTCTCCTCGAGAGTTCAGAATAAAACGGAGAGAAAAAGAGAGCGCGAGAGAGCAGAAACAAAATGCTTTCCATGTTTTTTAAACATCTGCTGAATCACGCAGATGTCTGTCTGTCATGTGTATGGGCTGAAGCTTCGTTTTGACTCCACCACAATGATGGGTTTGTATGAGTATATATTACAGCTTCTTCCATGTATTTTCATGATTTTTCTTTTTTTTTTTAAGTTTCCTTGCTGACTGCGTCGAGGGAGAGGAACCACAGCACCTGAGGGAGAAAGAGGGAGAAGAAGAGGGAGAGGAAGAAGGAAGAGGGTGGGTCGCAGACAGCGCTTGATATGTGTTTGTCTGTAACAGGCAGGTGATTGCGTCTCTTCTGACAGGGTTGCCATCAGGAGGAGTCAACAGGGGAGGAAGAGAAAGTGGAGAGTGGGAGGTACAACTTGTAGGATGAAAGGTCAGAGGGTTCAGGAGGGGGGAAAGGTCGAAGGTTAGCCCTGGGTCTCCTTGCCGCTGTCTCGTTCCCGTTGTCCACTCTTGCTCATCTTCATCTCTGTCAGCTGGATGTATCGGAGCACGTTGGTGTCTGCAGAGAGAAAATGGAACGACAGGTCATCGGTGGATGCTCTGAGCACTGGCAGCAGAGCAGTCGGTTGCCCCTTTCTTACTTAAGTTTAGCAAACTGAGTAAAAGACGTGCTACAGCAGAAAGGTAAACAATGTAGAGAAAAGAGCTACAGGCTTTTACTTTAGTCAGCTGTAACTTCTCATCGATGACGAGAAAGAACCCTGACCTCTCACCTTTTGACACTTTCCTATTGGATAAAGTTCTCCAAACAATTCAAGTTTATCCAGATTTGACCTTCAACCTTTTGTCATTTTGTCATATGAGACATTTGGCTCAAACTTGGTCATGATTATCATTTTAAGTCAGAGTTCTCAAATTGTTGGTAATCCCAGATTTACAAGGTGAATTGAAAACCTTCGTGTTCCTGGAATATATCGATTGAGCAAAGGCATTAAAAAGGCTGTTTCCCAAAGTGAAAACGATCTATTTCCTCCTATTTTAGAAAAATATCCTTCCAAATGTATCCACAGCAAAAATTCATACAAAAATCTACTAGAGCTCCTAATGCCACGTGTCCTACAGCTGGCACGTAATGAACACAGAGGTGCACACCTGCATGTGCACACTCACTCTTTGATATTAAAAAAAAGGAGCTGCATTTGCTGCCAAGCATGTTGCCTCTGTTGCATGTGCTTCTCATACTATGATTTAGTCAAGAAAGTGGCCCCTCTAGCATTTTCCTGAGACGGCATATTTACTTAATTCTTACCGACTCTGGTTACATTTTTCGGGTTTTATTCTTGGTTAATATGTTTTCTGGTATCTGAAGATCAGAGTCTTGTGTTGGCTTTTATCATTATCATAACACATGCTAGTTTTGGTTTGTAGCTCCCCCCCGTTTTATTTTGATAGCGGTCTCTTGTGTTTCCGTCCTCCTTCTGAAGTACTGTGGATTTAGTTTGAGTCTCCTTTTCATGGCCCTTGTTATTTTGAACACTACCATCATCAGCAGCCTAAAAAAAGCTGTGAGTCTCCATTTGGGTTTGCTGTGCTGTCCACATGTACATGAGTATTTCTGGAAAACCTATAGAGTCAGGGGAGTGGAAGATTTTCTAATGTGGACAAAGAAAAAGATTTATTTTAATATCAAAGGTGTGAGACTTCCCCTACTTTTCTGATGTCAGACTGTGGGTTGCAATGTCTGTGGACCTACTTTTGTCATGATTCATGTGAAGAAAGATATTTTTCAAAATGAAATATGTACGTGTGGACGAAGCCTGTGAACATCTGCACATGTGTCTTTGCTGTTTAGACTGGTTTCCTGTGGCTTTTGCATCTGGATCCTAAACATTAGACATAAAATGTATTCATGAAACAAATCTGCCCCTCTTGCCTTTCAAATAAACAGACTATAAAACACAATGTGCTGCTTACACACATCACTTATGTACTTTACTTAATTCATTTACACTAAAGTAATTTAATACTGGCCGTCTGCAGTATAATTTATCATGAAAGCATACTGATGTAAAATATGGAGCAGTTTTAATACAAGTGTAGCTGTGCTTTTGAACTTTTTGGAAATGTGCATAGTCAAAGCAAACATGCAAAACAGGAAGTCTTTTAAAGTCTGTTCAGTAATACAGGTTTTAGAAACACAGAGAGCATCTTTTTAGTTTCTGCTCAGCACTCTCGGAACAAAAGGCTTTAGTTATCACTCAGTTTGTAACATAACAAATAAAATCTAGCAGGAGAAATGTACCAGTTATGCTTTTTGATTTTTCCTGTCATAAATGTTGACGCTAATATTAAACATGCCTCAAGTTTCAAATCATGAGACAACTGGATGACCTGATAAGCTGCACTAAGGTCAGAGTACATCAATTTAAATATGGAGCTACAGGTGAGCACATTGTTTCACCATCAGAGAAGATCTTGTACCTCAAGGCTGCTTTGTAAATGTATAAATACACTGGGTCATTCTCACCTGTGGGTTCGCGGTTTTTGGCGTCACGCAGGTAGCGTAGGGCACATTCGTAATCACCCAGGTGATAGAAGGCGATGCCGGCTCGGTACATGGCCTTGAAGTGGTCTCTCTGGTGGCTCAGGACCTTCAGACAGTACTCCTTCACTCTCTCATAGTTTACCAGCTCGGACTGCAACAGACAAGCTGTGAGGAGGAAGACAGGAACTAGTTAGTGGTTCATAAACATTTTCTGCCTTAGTTTGTCCAACCAAACACATTTTGTCTCGTTTAGAGAAGATTAAACCACATGTGTGTCCCCCGAGTGAAAAAGAAAGACGGGGAGATTTTGCTGACATCTTACTCTGTTCCTTTTAATAGAGCCACAATGAAATTTATCCTGCACACTGCTTCCTCGGGGCGGACTATAAATAGCCGGTTCTAATGTCTCACAGTGTAGAGAAGACACAAAAAGTCGTCCAAGCAGTTTGAGCCCTGGGGCAGGAGAGCAGCATCGCTGAGCTCGACATGCAAAATACAAGAACATGGGAAAAAAAATGCACCGATCGCTACCAGGAAGCTTTCGACTTGTTCCTTTAACTTTTTAGGTGGTTTCTAAATCTTGAGGGCCGCAGGAAAACAAACGAAGGGCAGAAAGTGAGTGCATTAAAGTCAGCAAGCTGAAAACAGCAGTAAAGTGGAACGCTTGAGAAAAGGACTATAGTAATCTATCCCACAGATTGCAACAGCAATTCTCTGCAGCTCTGAGATCAGAATAACATCATTAGCAAAGACACACGGACAAAAATCACACACATATACACACACAGCTTTTAGTCCACCAAAGCTTTTAAACGCCTGCTGATTGCTCAGATATCTGATCACTCAAACAATTCCTCTGGTGGTCACAACCACTCGCGGTTTCACTTCCTCCCTCCCCCCCCACCCCATCACTCCTTCCCTCTCTGCCAGTGTCTTAATCTATCTGATGATAGATCAAAAGTGATTTCCTTCTGTCTCTCGTTGTGCTTCCACAGTCATATCTGCCTCAGCACTCCCTCCCTGATCCAGCTCCTTTTTAACCTCCCCATCCTGCCCCTTTCCTCCGAGCCCTTGACACGCAGACAGCTCTGTGAATAACATGAGTCATGGACTGTTAGCCGGGAGGCAGGGTGAGTCAGGAGTAAGTGATGGAGAGAGAGGGGAGGAAGAGATGATGCATGAGTAAGAAAGGTGAGGCCTATGGGAGTCATAGGGCGAGGATTAGGAGGGGGAGCGTGTTAAAAGCAGCCAGTGGCCCTTAAACTACTATTTGTTTGTGAGACAAAAAGCTGAAGCCGCAGGGTCTGAGGGTTTTGTGAAATGTGTGGCACTAATGGAAATCTGTCATTTACACACACACACACACACACACACACACACACACACACACACACACACACACACACGTCACCCATCACCAACACAAATTGCAAAACACTAAATAATTCATTGTGGATATCAGGGACGAACAAATTCAATAACAATCGATTTGTTTTTGGTATTTAGTGGTTGAATTTGCACGTGTCTGGTAGGTGCTTTGCAGGCTTCTCCAACCTTAAAGGAAATCCGTTTTAACCCCAACACAAAAACTGAAAAGAAAAATAGTAATTCGAATAGGTTCATCAACTGCTACTACAAGTAGATCAAACATAAATGACATCAAAGCATTTTGCTTCCTTTTATCCCTGTCCAATGGCATCCTGTTATTTGGAGTTTTATTTAATCAAGGCTCAAGAAAGTCACTTGGATGCAGCCACCATGCTGCATCCAAGTGACTTTCTTCAGTCTTCAGACCGTCTTCAGACTGAAGAAGTCACTTGGATGAGTGACGAAACGTTTCTCCCACTGAAAACGCTACATCCAGATGAACAGAATCAACTTTTGGGGAACAGGAAAATGTATTTTTGTATTAAAAATGGTAGTGCAGGCTCACTGACCATGATTACCTGCACATGTAGTCACAACCCCAGGCCCAGTGTAACACACAGATCCTTGTCATTCAGATGTATAAAATCAATCCAAGTATATTCTTTCTTTCTTCAACACAGCAAATAGCAGACGTTTTAACTTGTCGTAAGAACACTTTAAATATTAACCTCCCAGGACCTGCCGCCCACATATGTGGACATCACATTTTGGGTTGTCTAGACCAAACTACAAAATTTTGCCCTACAAGGGCCTGATATCCACTTACAAAGACATTACACTGCCACTGTTGTATCAAAATTTAAAGTGAATGTCCTCATAGGGGGATCAGATTTTTCTCAGAAACAAAAATTAGGTTAAAAAAAATCTGATAATTCTTTGTTTTTATACATCGTCATCAGCCCAAATAGCAAAGAGAAATTAAAAATGCATGCAATGAACGAGTTTGGGTCTTAGGAGGTTAAGGAATTTAATAGAGGATACACTAGAGCTTCCTTTAAAATGAGATATTTTTAATGGAGCAAACTATAACACACAGTTTTAGTTTAATCTTTCTTTATCAAATTTTGTGTTTGTTCAGTAATTGTGTTGGGATTTTTATTTGGGTTTAGCTTATGCTTACCTCCCTTACACCATCTTGTTTAATCTTGTCTTCATCAGTGTTAATCATTTCCTGTGCAGTTACTTCCTGTTTTATTTTGACAGTAATAAAGGTCTCCTGAAGGTTGTATTTCATTTTACGTCCTTTGTATCACTTGTCATGATTAGTTTCGGCTTTCTTGTTCCCCATCTGTTTTCGATTCCCTTGATTACCCTCAGTGTGTCTGTGTGTCCGTGCATCGTCCGAAACCCCGTCTTTGTCAGAGAGTTTGTTCAACTCTTTTTTTCTTTTGGCAAGTTTTGGATTCTGATCGATATCTTTGTTCCATGAAATAACATTTTTATTCACCAAGTCCTTCATTTCTTTCTTATCTTCCAGCTTTATGATCATTTACTTTACAGTTCCAACCTCTGTTAAAGGGATTTTTTCCCTGGTGGTTCTCATTTTTGCATGAAACTCATTACAATCACATCTGGAGCAACATGCACATTGTGTGGGTCCGTCTTCTGGACATTATGCCCCTGATTTAATCCTGGTTCTCTGTTTAGTTCATTATTTTGTAGTTTAGGTTTTTGTTTATTACAAACTATTATGAGCCTTTAGTTCTTGTTATACTTTTGTTTATGTTTGCATTTGTAGAGTTATTAGTCTCCTCTTCTGTTAAATCTTTTATTCACTTATTTTTGCTCTGTCTTTGTGTTTAGTTTTACTTCCCTCCTGTGTCACTGTCTCCAACTACATTATTACACTCTCCTGTATCTATTTTTTTCCTCTCTCCTGATTAGCCAATAAATAGTATTTTGTTTTTATTTCTTTGGTTCTGTGCTCTCTTTGGTTGCAGTTTGCCCTTTGAATGATTCAGCTTGCTCCCCTCCCACCCTCTTCTGTGTGATTCCCCTTCCTACATTTAAGTCCTTATTTCATGCACCACAACACATCACATCACATTTTCAAGACAGACACCTTTCTTTCACCTCATGACATTGAATTCGACACCACCATTTGCCAATTTTATTTGCTTTCATGTAACAAGGAAGTGAAACTCTTGGACCCACACAAGCACATTAACCTAGCTTGTCTTTCAGTGATGGGAACACTTAGGCAAGCAATGGGGAGAACATGCAACCACCACACGGCAGAGCTCAGGAGCCTCTTACTGTGAGGCAACAGTGCTAACCAGTGAGCCACCATGCTGCGCTGATGAGCTCACGTATCACACATGCATCCTGGCATTTTTTACAAGAATTCAAGCTTTGTTATGCACAGCTGCTGCAGAAACCTGAAGATACTCCAGCTGGAAGAGTGTCAACATCCTGTACATTAGAAATGAATGGTGATGATAGACTAGGGTTCATATTAATGCCACATATAAATATTTTACTGAGCTGAAAATTCAGGAATCGTTTTTTTAGTCCCACCAGCACTAATACTTTTTTTCGAGGTTCTTTTTCGTGGACGAGGTTCTTTTACAGCGTGAATGTGATCTTATGTCGATTTGACCCAACTGCCATGTGTACGTTGCAAGTTTGAGATGAACACTTTCCCCTAGGCACATATGCTTTTCATTCTTGCATGCAAAGTACAGTAGATGTGCAAATGTCTGTACGGGCTAGCAACTAGCCATGAAATGAATGGAAAATCTCCAATAGCTCATCTTCCTGTTTTCACTGTTGGTCCTGCCCCAAACACATCTGGCCAATAAGTGGACTGAACACTCTAATGGGGCTTATAGTGATGCATTTTGGTCAACACGGATCTACAAGCTTACAAACTCATTAGCAAACTCTTTTGGACCAGCATAAACAAACTATAGCTGTAAAAACAAAACCCACCCTCAGACAACCTGGTGGCACATGTGGATCCTGGGTGGGTTTTGCAGTTTTCCAGCTGTCAGCCAGCTGCTTGAGTTGTATTTCCTGAATAAAAGCCGATATATACATGAGATAAAGTGCAATAATTATCCATGATTAGACACACTCGCGTTTACACACACCTTAATCAGAAAACCCCCCCAGAAGAACAACCCTCTTCTTCTCACTAAGACTCATGACTCAGCTTAGAGCAGGGCAGTGAGGTCGAAGCCGTTGATCATAAGTCAGCTCAGGTTGTTACAGTGACGGTCACCTTAGATGCCCTCCACCTCTCCTGCACACCTTTCCAGATGCTCCACCCCTCTGTTTGTTTTTACAACTGTTCGGCTACAGCAAGACTACTCTCATCCCTCCACCATCCATCCATCACTGCCCTGCAGCTGTGGGCATGAGCTGAGCTTTCAGGGGGATTCAGTTACAGTCCATAATAGCTTAATGGGTGACGCAGTTAGAGTTCACAGGCACTGACACCCTCAGATACACAATCTACACACTTCCAGTGCATGGAGCATTTACAAATGGCACAAACACACAATGAAGAGAGTGCAGAAGTGGGTGTGAACAGGAGGGTGATTTAAACTTGAAGACACAGCTAACACAAAAACAGACTCATCAGCACAAAATTTCAAATGACACAGGTCAAGAGAAAGATACATGACTGTACAAATACACACAGACACACAAAAGCAGCGTGCATAAGTGATGACTGGCCGGCCGCACCCTACTGGCCCATTAGACAGATGGATAGCATGCCAAAGGAAATGTAG